GGGAGCCAGCAGGTCAGAAGTCAGGATGTTTTCTGAACCCCCAAGCTTGTGGCTGGCATCTGAGGTCTCGGGCTAACCCGACAGTGGGGAGGATGGTGCCCTTTCCCCTGTGAGTGCTGACCTCCCTGCTCTAGGGGCTTAGGGTCAGAGGATGAAGTGCTGCTTGGGCAGCTGGTGGCAGAACTGAACAGAGAAGTGGGAAGTGGGGATTCTGACTTATTAACGTTACAGAAGTGACAAAACGTGGATTTGCTATTTGATTATCTCCACACAACATGGCTTACTCAAAAATAGTATCAACTATTATTGCACTAACAGCGGTCAGTCTGGAGATGCCACTGCAGCAAGAACATCAGCGTCGATCTTGCTTGTACGGAGGCAGACACTGCGTTGAGCAGCCTGAGGACTCGGTTCGCAAGGGCTCGGCTTTGGGACTTGGCAGAGCTGTCCAATGTGCTCCACCAGGTGAAGCCAGCCAACCTGCATCCATTTGAGCTTAATTAATCCTTATTCCATGCACGGACACATTGTCGGGATTAGGAATCATTTTAAACAGAGCCAGGGTTAGGGCTGGCCTTGCCTCCCGGGGCTTCCTGGCAGGCCTTGTGCTCCCTGGCCATGACAGTGGTGCCTTCCGCCAACAAGACTCAGCGCTCCCTTCTACACCCCAGCTCAGAGATCCCTCCAAGCAGCACCTCTCACCTGGCAGGCCTGAGGTCTTCAGCTCTCCCTTCTAAACCCCAGCTGACAGATCCCTCCAAGCAGCACCTCTCACCTGGCAGGCCTGGGGTCTTCAGCACTCCCTTCTAAACTCCAGCTCACAGAACGCTCCAAGCAGCACCTCTCACCTGGCAGGCCTGGGGTCTTCAGCTCTCCCTTCTAAACTCCAGCTCACAGAACACTCCAAGCAGCACCTCTCACCTGGCAGGCCTGAGGTCTTCAGCTCTCCCTTCTAAACCCCAGCTCACAGATCCCTCCAAGCAGCACCTCTCACCTGGCAGGCCTGAGGTCATCAGCTCTCCCTTCTAAACTCCAGCTCACAGCCTGTTCCCTCCATAGGGGTGTCTGCTTCTCACCCCTGACCTGTGCTGCTCAGCCTGGGTCCGCCATGGGGGTGTCTGATTTTCAGCCCTGAGCTCCAGCACTCAGCCTGTGCCCGCCATGTGTGGGGGTGTCTGATTCTCACCCCTGAGCTCTAGCTCTCAGCCTGGGCCCGCCATGTGTGGGGGTGTCTGATTCTCACCTCTGAGCTGTAGTGCTCAGCCTGGGCCTGCCGTGGAGGTGTCTGATTCTCACCCCTGAGCTCCAGCGCTCAGCCTGGGCCCACCATGGGGGTGTCTGATTCTCACCTCTGAGCTGTAGTGCTCAGCCTGGGCCCGCCATGGGGGTGTCTGATTCTCACC